CTAAAAAGACTCTTACATTTATACATCTTATAGAAGACATTTGGTATTCAAATGAAGCATCATGATCAACAGTTAAGAGATCATGTCAACTTCTTAATTATGGATAATTGAGATTGAATTCTCTCCCTTTGCATATATATGAATGCGAAATCATATTTGATATTAATATGTATTTTGATATTTATAAATTTGATCTGTGGGCAAAACATCAAAACTTATTCATTATTATATTTCAGAACAAATTAAAGGCAAACTAAATTTTTATGGTGATAAGTGATTAACATTGCATGTTGTCTTTCTGCAAGTCATCTACACGATCTATTGTTTGATTATGTATGCCTTCAACTCGGAATTTCGTCCCATCTTAAAAAAAAAAATAATTGGGTCATAGAGCTAGATTAGTACACCTGTAATAAAATAAAATTGGCAAGTGTTACCTGTTATCATTACCACATAGTTTTAAAACATACGTAAGAGCTCGTTGTAACACTTTTATAGTACTTGAAAATAATACTATCCAGTCAGGTTATCTCCAAATTGTTAACCATTATCCAAACATGCATATCAGAGATACGAGATTAATGACAAAAGTGGGCAATAATTGACATACCAGGATGTGACAAAAAACGCGAAATCGCGAAATGTTTTCGTTCTCTTGATTTTGCGATTTCGCATTTTGTGTCTGCGTATTTTGCGTTTTCGCCTTTTTCCTATTTAAAAATATTCAACGCGAAATTGGCCGCGTCCGTCTTCCACACATCATTGTACTAAATATGGATTTCTAGCTCACTTACTCAGTGTCTGTCTGAAATATTAAGCTTCGATTTATACAAAAAAGTAATACCGTGGGAGCTGACACCTGATAATACAAAAATAAGAAGATTTGGTATGATTACGAATGACACCACTATCGACCAGTGACAAAGACGTAGAAGTAAGCAGCTATGGGTCACCGTACGGCCTTCAACAAAGATCAAAACCCATACAATTCTAACAAGAAAACTAACGGCCTGACTTATGTACAAAACAATAAACGAAAAGCATATATGATATACAACACCAAACGACAACCACTGAATTACAGGCCCCTAACTTGAGTGATGGACTGCTGCATAAATGAAAAATATCATTATTTCTTCAAAGGTATTTGAAATATGACGTCAGAATTGACCTATTTGAACAAAAACTTTCCACCACTTGAGCAAAACATTTGTATATACATGTATTCCTAAATAATCTGTAATACTCAGAACAAAGCATTATTACTAACTTATGAATTGCTTGCAATTTATAACATACAACCACTTCAGGTAAATAGATGTCAAAGTTCAGATTACGCCTCTAAATCTTGTTAGACTAGAAATGCTCATCTTCAAATACCATAAACATTGACTTTAAGCATCATACTAAAAACCTGTTTTGTCGTGGTACCCTATAGATCTTCTTGTCCAACTGAAGTATAGTAATACCTACGCATTTTGAATCACAATTCAAGGATTAACTCTCTAACATATACGGTCAAAGTTCTCTAGTCCCAAGGGTGACCTTTTTATTGAGGTTCTACAGTACCTCATTATATGGTTTACTTCCTAGGATAGTCTTCAGGAACAGGAAGCCTACTTACAAGGTTTGTGGACATACTTGACAAATAATTTGAAGCTATGACCTGTCACGCTGATGCCGAACAGTTATTCAGATTTTGACAATTATATATAGTGTATCTTTTTATTTTCGAGAGGGATATTGGGATGTACTATTATGTATCAATATTTAATACAAAGCAACAGTTGATAAACAGACATCTGATTAGTATGCATGGTGTATTATAATGCGTAATCAGATGTATGTCTAGCAACGTGGCTTTGACACAGATCAGAATGAGAACGACGACACAATACATGTTGATGTAATGGTGATGTGCACACTCTGTATACCAAACACAGTCTACATGGTAGCAACGGCAGTAGGGACCTGGTCAACGGGTTTATTATTGACAACTACGCAAAGACAAACTTACCAACAAGATGGCCAACACAAACAAGCAGTGACAGCCTGCAGTTCAGTGGTTGTCTTTGGTTCAGGTCTGTCATATTTGTTTTTCGTGGATTGTTTTTGTAGTGAATAAGGCCGTTGGTTTTCCCGTTTGAATTGTTGCTCATTTTTCATGTCGGGGACTTGTATAGTCGACTAGACGTTATGGGGTTTCTCATTGTTGAAGGCCGTACGGTTGCCTATAATTGCTTACACCCACTTCATTTGAACTCTGGTGGATAGTTGTCTCATTGGCAATTTTACCACACCTCCTTATTTTTATAGTGGAGACGACCCATAATGTAGACAACATTGCAAGCAAGATCATCTCGCTGGTGCACAAATGCAACCATTGTCCTCTTCTGTATATTACACAAAAACTTACCTTAAGATTTATTTCCGAACAGTATATTTAACGTCAGTATATATGTTCCTGGATTTATCAAATTATGTATCGACCTTCAGGATACAGACTTACCAAAACAACTACATGGCCATATTCACCTGCTACATCAACAGTCAGGGAGACTATAATTTAACTGACACAAAACTCAGCAACGCCACTGCAAACTCAAACACTCACACAATCAACGGTCATCAACTCAAAATCAGATATATGACAGGATCTGAATGAGCAGCACTGTTTTTGCACCAAGAAAGTTTTACAAATATAGCTGCAAAAACAAAGAAAGCCTCGTCAGTCAATTAATCCTTAAACGAAGTACCATTCTGTATCAAATAAACCAAGCATCATCGTTGTTTTAGGCCATGACCAGACAGAAACATCAGTAGTACGATGTTACAAGTGTCTCATCATAGATCTTGAATCATCAGAGATCAACAAAAGCCCAGTTGTTGGACATGCACTATTCAAGAGTTTGAAGAACCCCTACACATTGGGATAATTTTTTCTTATGGTAGACATCTTGCCGTACATTACGAGCCTTTTATTAGTGTTCCAGAAAAGAGATGTTATTCTTGTTAATATCAAGAACAGTGTAGACAAGACCACCAATCGACTGGAGAAGAGAAATACTCAAACCGGACCTTGGATACTGAAAGAACATCAGCTACAGTGGCAGATCCAGAACTTTTCATAAGGGGGGGCACTGACTGACCTAAGGGGGGCCCCGCTCCGGTCATGTTTCAGTGATTCCCTATATAATTAACCAAATTTTCCCACAAAGAGGGGGGAGGGGCGGGCCCCCCTGAATCCGCCTATGAGCTAGATAAAGATGTCAACATCACACAAACAACAGTAGTCGATTTTGATTCAACAGTCACACAGCCATTCTAAGAAACCATGATAAAAGAACATAATAGATAGAAATCAGATTGTTATTCTTATTGACACAGACAACTTAGACAATATATATGGTTACACAGAGATAGAAATCAGATTGTCATTCTTGACCTCACTGACACAGACAACTTGGACATCATATATGGTTACACAAAGATAGAGGCATTATCATAAAAGTTTGACATTAACCCAGAAATCGTTCTTATGTAGTGGCAAGATTTCATTGAACTTATAAAAGCCAGATACCAACAACAACGTTCCCTACCTGAATTGCACTGTTCCAATCACTAGAACACACAGATCTCAACTTACAGCAGATATATCCATTAATCTCTCCAGGTACTACAGCTTTCTCCACAAATAAAAAATTACCACCATGATATAGCTAATGTCACTGAAAGTGGCTTTAAACACCAACAAAGAAACAAACAAGAGCATGTGTCCATACGACACCATGTCCTGCTCGCACTACTACAATATTTCAGTGAACCGTGATATCGGAGTCAAAGTCCTATTTGGAATATATTAGAAACAGTTCATAATAATCAACATTGTCCACAGGACACCATATCCAGCTCGCACAACTACAAACATTTCGATGTTCATTGAACCATGATATCTGGGTCAAAACCCTATTTTGATTATCAGTTCATAATAATGAACATATGTACTAGGTTTTAAGAGGATGTCACAAAAAACAACTTTAAACCAAAACTTTAACCTATTACAGTTCCATTCAGTGAGCTTTGAAATATGGTTATCAACCCTAATTTGGCATACTGTGGATTCATTGATATGCATGGGGTACCAATTCTTGTTGATTTCAGGATTAAAGGGAAATCAGGAATTTTAATGTTCAACAAAGTTATAATTAACTATAGGCTTGTATACAACTTTTTGCAAAACCACAAAATCAAATATCCATGAAAATACCATTTTCCCTCAATCCAACAAAATTGGTACCAATGAAAATAAATGAATCCACAGCATATATTAAATAGTTCACTCAATAATGAAAATGTGATCGAGGTTCAAGTGGATGTAACCGCAAACTACTTTAAACCAAAACTTTAACCTTATAAGGGATGAATGGAAGAGCAGACCAGAAAACATAATGTCCCTCTACTATTGAAGGCAGGGCATAAAAAACAATCTATGCACAAAATTGATATTTAATAATCTTCATCAAATAAGTTAAAGCTGACTAGGCACTAGGCGGTATCAGTTTTGCTCATAATTGAAGGTTGTACATTGACCAATAGTTAACTTCTATGACATTTGGTCTCTGGAGGTGAGTTGTCGCATTGGCAATCATACCGCATCTTCTTATTTTTATAAAGACAAAAGTTAAGAGAATCTTAACTTCATAAAATATTCAAGGGCATTAAAACCAAAGAGATTTTTCCACATCTCCATATTGTTTTCTTTCTAAACAGAATAGTCAAAATCTGCAAATTTACAGCAAGAATGTATAATTTCAATAATGGCAGGACAAAAGCACTGGTTACTGGTTCCCTCTAGGACTGAGTTCATCAGCAGTGACCCAGTCATCAAAGTATGATACCATTTTCAGTGCCCATGGCATGTGATTCTAGATAACCTTCAAGTACATTGGAGATCAAAAGGTTATCATGCTGACAATGCCCAAATACAATAATAACTGAAGCAAGTTTAATCAATGTTTTATCTAAACATGTGGTAATTACATAAGCAAGAAACATTTCATGACTATTTTCATTTAAATGATTTGATTTTACAAGAACTACAATATGAAATATAAAAGATTTCATTGCGAGATTGTTTTTTTTTTACTTAATTTGTAAGACTTAATTAACACTTTTTAGATATGAAATGTTTACATATTAAAATTAATGTCAACATTATAATTTTGAATGTTTGCTTTTTTTTTCAATGAAGATCTTTTAAAAGTTTTTACAGAATTCTCACTTACTTTATATTCCAATTACAACCAAAAATAATTCAAATACTAACAGAACTAATTTTTATAACTCTAAATAAAAAAACATTGTGCAAAATATCCATCTTAAACATTACTTAGTCAGATGAGAGACTGTTTCAAATTCACCATTCAAGAATCTAAAGGAGTAGGGGTAATTTCATTCTTAGGACCCCAAAATAATTTTAAAATCACATCATTGGTTGAATTTCCATTGTTTGGAACATTTTTAACCAATCAAATTGGTTTATTGTACACTTTTGAAAAAATTACCCATAATTCATTAGGTTCTGAAACAAAAATTGTGTTTTATAACAAAATGGCATATTAATGTAAAAGTTGTAAAAAAATCCACTGAAATGAATGTAATCATGTTAATAACAAAACAAATCTTTAAAAAGATAAGCTTCAACAAATAAAAGAAGGGAAACATACATGTTTACACATGTGACTATTGAAAACAAAATGTTCAATGACAATACACAATGGTTACATTTAAATGAGCACATGTACATTATTTTACTGGCACTTAATGGAGAAAAAAATACTGGATAAAATTCATTTATACAAAATATACACATAAAAATATACATTTGTAAATAAAACTTGTGTCATGTTTCAAAATTAAAAGTTTATTTAAATGTAAAGATAATTTTTTTAATCTATATAAATAACATTTTATTTCTACCAAATTAAATGAAAATTGATGATAGTTTTATTTCATTTTATAAATGAAAATCAATGAGCCTTAAAAGTTAAATATGATTTTGTTCTATATTTACATAACCGCCTTCTTCATTTACAAAAATACATTACCAACTTTGAAACAATAAATCGATAGGTTTTATCAACACTTGACTCATTTTATACAGCAATGGATATGAAGAGTTATGTCCCCTTCAAAAGGTATTTCATCAAAAGCTTTCAATACTATATATTTTTCCCAGGATGCATCAGATTTATGCAATAGATGCAACCCCAGCTGTTATAAAAGAACCATAGGTAAATAATTTTGTTTTTGGTGAAAGATATAATTCACCGAGTCCATAGCCAAAATCTAAAGTAATACTTTATTAAAATGGGGACTGCTGTAACTATATGCACTATACATTTGGAATTATAGATTTTCAACAAGGAATACTTAATTGAGGACTGCCTTAGACTTTCGTTAGAAATTTAGAAGAGATGTATGAAGAACAATTATGTTGATTTCTATGAAATATGTTGAAAATGTTAAACCAAAATGATTATAATACTTTTAAATAGCTAATGATATGTCTTAAGGAAGATTGAAAGTGCCTTTCACGAATATTAATATTTCTGTTTAAAGTAAATTGGCTAGCATTTTGCCTGAAAAGAATAAACATTCAAATTTCCAACACAGCAGATAACATTTGTTGCATCAATTAATAATTAAAATTATCAAAATGATAAAATCTGAGAAACCATTACTGGAGGTTCCAATCTTTTTTCTTTCTATTTCCACCCAGAACACGTAATTTAACAGAATAAAACTGATATGTTACAAATAAATCTAAAAAAATATAAGTTTTATTTATAAATTCATAGAAAAATTCATAGAATTTATTCAATGGCACATTAGAAAAGACAATGTATAGAACTGTTGCACAAAAAACAAATTTACAGGAATAATTTCTTTGAATGTATAGCAGTTTAACATACACTCATTTTCATCACTGAGAAGTTCGATTTCTCGTAACCAATAGTATGTGATTAAAACGTTCAGCTAATTTTTAAAGAATTTACTCCCTTAGGTGTTCTGTACCCCTTAAATTGGGAAATTGAACCACCTGCTGATCTATATTTCTGAGCATATAACAACAGTGAGGAACACAGTTATTCATAATGGTTGCCCCAACATCTCCTATTATTCATATATTTAATACCTTTCAATATCAACTCATTAAATCAGAGCCATGTTTCTTTCAGGTAAGTTTTACTGTATTGAAACTATTATTCCTTTAAATGTTGAATTTCCACAAGAAAAGTACAACAAACATATCTTTAGTTGACACCGAAAAAAAGCTTGCATTCAAAAGATTTTATCTATTCACTTATGCAATTAATGCAAAAATACCAAATTTCATGACATATTCATACAAGAAAAAATATGCTGCTGGGAAAATGTTTTCCAAAAAATGTGTATTTGAACATTAACTTCACAATTAACTTGCAAAGATATTAACTCATTTCCTTATTTCATGTGTTCAATTTTTGGTAAACTAGTTTTCAGTCTTTCTGAAAGCCTCTAAATAAACAATACTTAGCAAAATATAGCACCTCTAGAAAAAATGTCTTTCCTGAGTTATCTCCCATTAAATAGAGATTTATTTCCCCATTCTAAAGGAAATTGTAATTCTTTTGAAACAGCTTTTGTTAACAAAGAAAACATTACTGACATAAATAATTGTGAGATCAACAATAGTTGCAGAACTAAATCACTGTTTTTTTTTTCAAAATTACATAAGAAATACTCCAACACATCAGCATAGTTTAACCAGTCTTTGAACACTGAAAGTCTCACTATGTACACTGTAGTCATATGATCATAGCGGTTTCAGACTTAAGTATTTTCAAATTTATATTACTGACACCTTGAAAAGGCACTTGTAAAAACAAACAAAAAAATAAACAATCATATGAGGTTTATAGTTTTTCATGCATTATGTCTGCATCTCTTTCATGATGAAACCTACTTTAATTTGATGACATTTGTTTTTATGATTTAGCCCTATCAATTCTTTACTTTTAAAAAGTGGCCATTTTGCCTTCTGGAATGTGAAATTTATCTATTCAAAATAACAGATGTGTACATTTTACTGTTAATTTTTTCACACAATTGTTCTTAGAATGGGTCTTTGTTTGAACTAGACTTTTACTTAGGTAAAACATTTAATCCCTTATCAAAATTACTCTCGATTCATTATAATTAGTTTGATTCCAATTTTCGTGGATTCGGTGTGTAAAGCTACCACTAATTTAAATGTTCAATGAAGTTCAAATTTTCAAGTGGCATATTTGCAGGCATAATTATGCAAAACCAAGTAATCAAATGTCCATGAAAAATTTAATTTTCCCTCAATCCACAAAAATTGGTATCAGCGAAAATAAAGAATCCACAGTAAGAAAAAGTAACCCTGGTGCATACATAAGTGTGATTAAGGAATTATATCATGAACATGTAGTAGATTACATGTATAAATTAAGTATCAGAACTGGCCTCTCAGTTCAAACAACCATAAAAATCTACAATCAAAATTTGTATGAATGACTTTTTTTTTTACAAAGTAAGTAAATGCTGCCAATGAAATATTTAGAGATATTAATTTTAAATATACATTCTATTATGAAACCTAATGATTTCTATTGTTCATAATTAATTATCACATATATGTCAAAAATATTCATAAACATTGTCTGTCAAACATTACTTTGTAGTCATGTCAACAAATCATCAATTAACAAATGTCAATCTGTTCGGAGACAGCTACAAAAGTTTTATTTACGATTATCATATAATGTACTCAATAACTTCCAATTCCAGTATACAGTAGTTTAGGAAACGACCTTTGAACTTTTAAACTCGTGATCACTACTCCTTTTACTTAAATATCCAGCAGTGTTACAAGGTTTCAAACTACATGGTTTTTTTCTTCTATCACATGACAATCACATGATTGTATTCTGTCTGCATGGTTGACCTCCAGGTGAAGCAGACCTTTATTTAAGCACTATGAAATATTGGAAGAAATTGCCATTTATTACACTTGGTTGCTAAAGTTACCAGAAGATGTTGAGTCTGGACTCGATGAATTTCCGTGTAATACCCGGTCAATGTCTCGACAATGTTGTCGTGGGCCAGGTTCAGGAGTATATGTAAAAGTCAGTCCAGTAGAGTATATAATTCCATCACTTCTTACTAATGACACAGGAACCTATAGTAATAAATAAATAATGAAGAAATGAAATAAATATGTTAACTTTTTAGATTTAAAAGTTGCTTACTTGGTAGACCATACAGTTATGAAGTTACAGACTAAGCATAAAAAACAAGAATGTGTTCATAGTACAAGGATGCCCCACTCGCACTATCATTTTCTATGTTCAGTGGACCATGAAATTGGGGTCAAAACTCTAATTTTGGATTAAAATTAGAAAGATCATATCATAGAGAACATGTGTACTAAGTTTCAAGATGATTGGACTTCAACTTCATCAAAAACTACCTTGACCAAAAACTTTAACCTGAAGCAGGACAGATAGATGAACGAACAGACGCACAGACCGAAAAACATAATGCCCCTCTACTATCGTAGGTGGGGCATCAAAATTATTAAGACAGAAGCTGTCGTAGGGAAAATATGTAAAAGTATACCACCCACTATGATTTGATTTGATTTTTGATTGTTGGTGTTTTAAGGCCACTTTTAAGCACCGCTTTTTGGGCTATTTCGTGGAGAAAGCCGGAGTGCCACCGAGGCCCCCCCCCCACCCACTATGTAAGTGGGGTATAATACATTAACTTCATATCAAGGCTTCATGTGATTGTTTATCAAGTTATACAATAATTTAGTCAGGCAAGAGATTGTGTGCTATTTGTAAGACAATTTGACAGTTATTTCATTTAACTTCGTTAATTAAAAAAAAATTTCATAATGGTTTTAAAAAGGTTTTGCTGAAGTTAGGGCTAAATCTTGCTCTTTGTAATTTAACAAGTATGTTTTTTTGTTCATAGTTGGAAACCTGAAAGCAATTTTTATTCTTATTACTAAACCCTTTAGAAAAGATTAAAGGGGCACTAGCTACGAGATATATAAAAAATCTAAAATATGATTTTTTTTGTTCAATCAGTAATGTAAGTAAAATAGTGAAATAATGATTCGCTTTTAGCAGCAAATATGGTTCAATTTTGTCAAAATAAGCTAAGAAACATTGATGATGAATTATTCACTTGCAAGTGAAAAATTCGACTTCATTGAATCCGTATTCATGTGAACTTCAATTTAACCCCTTAGCTAGCAATGGATAACACATAAATCGTGCGTGATCAGTTATTTAAAGGAAAAGAATGTCAACATTGAAAGTGAAACAAAGGTAAATAATTTGATTGACTGATTCAATCCACAAAAATTCATTCTTTTACAGGTAAAAACGATGATTAACATATATTTTTAATCTATAATATAAAATTAAATAGACCTAGAAAAAAGCCAATTGCACAAGTAGCTTAATCTATTTATATCTATATTTATGTGTATATCCTTTATATGGCCATCAGAGGTTTTCCAAGATAAACTCGATAGTTAATTAGATGGCGTCTAGACTAAGTTACTCACGAAACAAAGCTACATATTTTCGAGTCCATGTCCTGTAAATTGTTTATTTTAGACTTTTAATAGTTTGGATAAATGTTTTACATTGTTATAAATCAAATATGAGAATTTGAGTCGAATCGGTGAACATGAATTTGACAGCTAGTGCCACTTTAACTGTGACTAATAGACAAAATGCAACTTGTGCAGAAGAAAATGTTTTCTCAGGCTTAAACTCAATCTTTTTCAAGCCTGTGTAAACCATGTCACTGTCCTTGTACCACATCAAAACAATCTTTTCCAATTAAATGTACAAATATGATGATTAAAATGTTACAGTTCACATCGTTCTTACCCCTAATGGTTGTCTAACCCATCTCCAGCCAGCTCTAAATGCTGATATATCTGGGACCACACAGCACATGTTCTCATCACACCTATAAAATACAATCAATACTATAGCAGTCGTATTAAACAGGAGCACTTAACTAAGACAGTGTTAGTTACACTTGTAACATAACAATTTTTGGTTCATAACCATGACAATGCATATTTTAGTCTAAAAAAAATTGCTTTTTCAGCATTTAAAGGATTATGGGTAACTTCATTGTTCATACCCAAAATAATAAAGAGCTGCGCCCTGAGCGCATGATGCGCCCGTCGCTTTTTCAATGAATAAAGTTCCATAACTCCTCAATGTCATATCAGAAATTTATAAAAAGCTGAAGGGAGGTAATTTTAATAGATATAAAACAGTCACCAAAGTTTCATGAAAACTGCTCAAAGCACTTTTGAGTTATTGTCCAAAAACTGGGAAATCCCCCCTTTTTTATGAATAAAATCCCATAACTCGGAAACGTAAAATCTTAAATTTATAAAAATCGAAAGGGAGCTTACGTCAATAGATATAAACAATTCACCAAAGTTTCACGAAAACTGCTCACAGCATTTTTGAGTTATTGTCCGAAAACTTGAAAATCCCCCCTTTTAATGAATAAAACAACTTGAAAATCGCCCCTTTTAATGAATAAAACCCCATAACTCGGAAAAGTAAAATATAAAATTTATAAAAAAAGAAAGGGAGTTCACGTCAATAGATATAAGCAATTCACCAGTTTCATGGAAATTGGTTAAAGCGTTTTCTGAAACAGCTAATTAGGATGTTGGCTCCTCATGTTTTAAAATTTTTCTTAAATGTTTTGCAACCCCTCTGGCCTTTCACTAGGATATATATATTCATTGCAAATTTTTGTAAAGCAGCCCCTATATTTCACAACATATCATAACAACTTGTATCTCACATTTCAGGTTAAATATCTTGAAATTCTTGTAATCTCTTTTATACTTATCATATATCATTGTTACTACTAATATTATTTCATATGAAAATTCAAACAGCAATTTTTTGCAGAAATTTTAATTTTTAGTTTAATACTAGTATCTCAAAAACAAGTGTATAGAACTTTTTTTATCTTTCCATAATTTTGATGTTTTATATATCATCTATTGAAAAAGAAGTCAGTCATAAAACTTTTGGTAATTTTGAATACCAGTACAAAACATACTTAAATCAACATAATAGGTTCTTCCTTTATCTTTTTATTAAATATCTGTTTTCTATAACAGAAGAATTTTTTGAATTCTGGGATTAAAACTGATTGTTGAGATCTTTTATTTCTTTCTATGCAGTAATATAATGTTTTAGTAGATAAATTGATTACAGATATAATAAGTAAGTATACAACCACTTGTATTCAATGTATTGCGAAAAAAACAATAAAAGGAAGTGTACAGCGATCAATCCTGAACAGTTTTCTTAACCAATTCTCCTCAAAGATTCCACTAGAAAACGTTTAAATTAAGATCCTGCGACTCTTTTCACAAAAAATCTTACGATTAAAATTGATCGTAAGTTATACTGAAATGTGTATGACTTACGAGTATTTTTACTCTTAAGATTTTTTGTGAAAAGAGCCGCTGTTCTTTATTTCAATAGATATGTATTTGGCGTTTTCTTCCTTTTTTCCTCTTAGAACATTTCACCAATTAAATATCAATGAAAAAGACATATTGTGGGGTCTTTTTATAGCCCACTATACGGTATGGTTTTTTTCTCATTGTTGAAGGCCGTACAGTTGCCTATAATTGCTTACATCCACTTCATTTGAACTATGGAGGAAAGTTGTCTCATTGGCAATCATACCACATCTCCTTGTTTTTATATTAACAGCAAAACTATGAAATAAAATTATAACTACCTGAACATAGTTTCAGCCTCGACATCACCAAACCATACTTTCATATTTGGGATAAAATTTTCTCCATGGAGTTCTAACATGGCTACATCACCACCACCATTTAACTACAATACAAATCATCAATATATAGATAAACTTCAAACAAACTTACGAGTTCAGACAAACATATCTGTAAAACAATATCAGGATAACAATGCTTTTCACATTCAAACTAAACCTTCTTCAAGATCAATTTCAAGGAAACAGTTATTCCAAATACTATGAAGGTCAAGCTAAATCAATGGTCAGAATTTTTGTTAATGGTATGTCCAACAAACATGTAACAATTCCATGGAAAAATTTTACACGTCTTGGATCAGGGCATTTAAGTGCTTGATTAGTTGTAAAGACACATGTCTATTGTAGAAGAAATTATATTGACATCTATATGTCTTTTAAAAAAATATATAGGTGTCCTTGGTTTGCAATATCACTGACGTAAATCTGACATTGCCTTTCATTTGTGCTCCCCTAAAAAATTATTCTTTTTATAAAGTAGCAATCATAGTTAGGTTTACAGTGTTTTTAAAAAAAAATTTTATGTTGTAAATATCTATCTGCTTTAATAATGTATAAATTTTGAAACAAGATCTTTAATTCTCAGTATTTCATTTTATTGTTTTGGTGTCAGCAATACAAACATAGATGACATCATCGCATCAATGCAAACTAATGGTTTTTTTTAAATGTTTGTGTGTTTTTTTTTATTATAAGATTGATTGATTAATATTTGCTTTAATGTCCAGTGGGTTTAAAGTAAAAGCAAATCTTTCTAAACTTGAAGGTAGCTGCTTACTTTTCTTTTCTGATAACTTTTCAAGGTAAGTGGGGCACACAGTAAAACATGCTGACTATGCTAAAACATATCAGAATCGTCATATTTGTTCTATCCAAAGAATTTAAATGTTCCAACAAGACATGTACAAATTTCATTTTTTTTCTTCTTTTGTGAATGCTGCTGAACTTGACAGTTTTCTCATTTGATTAACTTACCCGTAAACTGCTAACGACAGGTACAGGTGTAACAGGGGACTTTATTGGTCCCATGCCTTCATTAAATGTATATTCTGCTTTAGATGTGCTGATAATTGTCCAGGAAGCACCATCATTTATCATTTCTTTGTTTAGTTCTTTAGGACATGGTGTTGCCTATAATATAGTAAAAGATATATATATCAATGGAGAAATAGAAATAAGATGGGTATTTGCAATTCAGTGGTCAACATCTGATCAATCTCCAACAATAGACAAGAGTCATAACATAGGTTAAGTTCTGAATCATCTTATGAATTAGGTAATAAATAAATTAAACTGAGACTATTAAAGAATGGCCATCAACACCAAAATCTGTCTTTTACACATTTTATGATCTTTAGAATTTTTTACTGACAATATTCTGCAAAGTCTTGGTTTTGTTCTAAAGCCATTTCAGAAACTGTAAGGGTGTTAAATCACAACAAAACATTCCTTACAATTATGCATGTTTCCATGATTTGTTGCATTGCCTCGTGTACATCCACCCTACTTATTATGTAATTTCTGATATGAATAAAAAAAGACACATTCAAAAACTTGTTGAATTTAACAAATATAACATAGTCTTTAAATAAATTAAAAAATATAACAAGATAATTTCTGAAAGTATTGAACACCAAAACATCTAACATGTCTATGATTGGACTAACATGGAGATGGAATTCTAATAATTACCTGGAACTGTATTATTCTCTCCTGTGACAAACACAGATACATCCTTTCTGAGTCCTTCATATAAAATGCACATTTGTGAAGCTGTGAGACAGGATCATCTGCATCTAATATGGCAGTCTGTTTATCTACTTTCCTTATTATCTAAAAGCACCAAAAATATATTAAGACTCAAGGCAACAAATTTTTTAATACTGAAATTGCTTTACAATTAATGAATATTTTCAATAAAAATAAATGAAGTTTATTGATATGCTAGACACCAAATTAAACTACCACTGATGGATATACACGGTTTTTATCATCGTTCTATCCGCAGTGACTGATAAATCCGCTTTCATAATCAAGCATGTATTCGCAGTGACTGATAGATCCGCTGTAAACATACACTTACGCAGTCCCGGTGACTGATATTTCCGTAAAATATACCACTGTTAAAACCCTTTAGATTGGACAAAACTGTTGGGGAATCCCGAAATGAACCAATGAAATTCGGTTTTACAAATGAATAATCTTTCAACTCGTACATTCCTTTTCTATAAAAAGTGTGTGTTTACATTTAATTATGATGTATTTTACACGTGTTCAGAATGAGATTAAAACAATGGCGGAAGAATGGGCTTCTTTGTTCAAATCGTATAGCAGAAAGTGAAGAATTAGAAGGATTTATGCAATTAGAAAGCAAAATTGGAAGTATAGGAAGGGATAATTTAGCTTGTCGGAACAAGATTGCAAGTCATCCGAGGATGAAGAAGCCAAACATGGACAAATAATTTGAAAACTTTTTACGTCCGTTTACGGCAGCTTTCAAGCTTGATAATGAAAAGAAAGAAATTGATTTGGTATTTGTTTCATTTTTCAATTAATATACAATAAATACTGATTAATTAAACATTTAATTAGAGTACTCATAACACAGCCTTAACAATTTGTGAAAAATTCTCTCACTGTCGGAACAAGATTGCAAGTCATCCGAGGATGAAGAAGCCAAACATGGACAAATAATTTGAAAACTTTCTACGTCCGTTTACGGCAGCTTTCAAGCTTGATAATGAAAAGAAAGAAATTGATTTGGTATTTGTTTCATTTTTCAATTAATATACAATAAATACTGATTAATTAAACATTTAATTAGAGTACTCATAACACAGCCTTAACAATTTGTGAAAAATTCTCTCACTGCAAATTATCTCTGGTAGTTAACCTACAATTCAGCTGCAGTAGCTAACTAAACAGCTGTGTGTAGTAGTGAACTGTAAAGGTACTTGTGGTAGATAAGAAGTTAAAGTACACTTTAACTGAGTCGCATCTTAATGTCCCAAGTCAGGACCTTGGTTGTCTTTTTTAAGGACTTTGGTGTTAATTGCAGATCTTTTTCGTATTCTCTGTTATATTTATTCCAAATTTTTCTGTACTCTGCCCATTTAGAGCTTCACATTTAGTGAGAATACCTGTCTATTGTTGAAGACTGAATGTTTACCTTAAGATGCTGTTTTTGTTTTTATTGTGTTTTTTGGTTGCAGTCTTTCGACATATATTATACATTATCTTTTACTGTTATTTACGACTAATATGTAAAGATTTGTAAGCTATGAAAACTGAAACATTTGCTATGGTTGGTTTGTGACAAAACCCTAATCTAGTCAACTTTAAGAACCACAGATATACTTACAAGTCGAGGAAGAGCCATGCTTGTTACAGAACACACAAGTTTTACAGTAGAACCACAGATATACTTACAAGTCGAGGTAGAGCCTTACCTGTTACAGAACACACAAGTTTTACAGTAGAACCACAGATATAATTACTAGTTGAGGTAGAGCCATGCTGGTTACAAAACACACAAGTTTTACTGTAGAACCACAGATATACTTACTAGTCGAGGTAGAGCCGCCATGCCTGTTATAGAACACACAAGTTTTACAGTAGAACCATATATGTACTTTCTAGTCGAGGTAGAGCCATGCCCGTTACAGAACACACAATTTTTACAGTAGAACCACAGATATACTTACTAGTAGAGGTAGAGCCATGCCGGTTACAGAACACACAAGATTTATAGTAGAACCACAGATATACTTACTAGTCGAGGTAGAGCCATGCCCGTTACAGAACACACAAGTTTTACAGTAGAACCACAGATATACTTACTAGTCGAGGTAGAGCCATGCCTGTTACAGAACACACAAGTTTTACAGTAGAACCATAATGTATATAACCATCACGCACAGTAAATTCTTCTGATTCACCCTCATTGTCATCCACTGAAAAACAAGTTCTGTTATTAAATTTTGTTTCACTATTACTAAGTTAACCATAGCACAGTTTTGTCAAGTATGAATAGACAGCATACATAAATCTTGACATTATGATAGTACAATTATTGTGTGTACTTTTTATCACAGAGATTGATAGACAGGAGAAATTAGAAGACTTTAAAGTCAGGCCTCAGAAAGAATTATACTTGTTTGCATCCTTCTCGCCAAAAAAAATAGGGTAGGTTGGTAAAAGGATTTTATTTCTTAAGTATTTACCCAAAGAGCATAGAGGGAAATGTTCTGAACTAAAACAGTGCTTAACAAAAAAATATCTAGACTTTAAAGGTGCTAAACCAAAAATGTCCGTAAGATGTGTTAGGGTTGGAATAAAAATGTATGGTAGATAGGGAGTCAGAAACACAACTATATTTTGTTGGCCTTATCAATATACTACCTTATACTAGACATGTTGTGATGAGAGTACATCCCTTATAAACACTAGGGAAAAGTATGGGATACTGAAAAGAGTGTTGAAAAAATAACAGGTACATTAAAATCAAACACAACCTGAACTTCTCTAGTATGGCAGTTGGTATCATTTTAAAGGAGTCATTGCCTTGCTGTGAAGGAAGAATAAATAAACAGGTTTGCCTAATTGAATGGAAACATCAACTCTAATGGAGGGTGCAATCTTCTTTAATATTTAAGAAAACTAATGAGAGATCCTGGTGTGATCAGTCTTACTGGTTTATTGTATTTTTTGTTCTTATCCAGAATATGCAAGTTACATTTGCTACTAGACAAAAAACAATCAACAATCAATCAATTTAGGAAGATATGGATCTTTGGCTCAATGCTGAAAATGTTCCAGTTACTCAATGATGAGGATTAGAAATATAAACCCCTTTCATACTTGAGCTTACTTGTTGAAAATGTTACTTACATAAATGTATAGTGAAAGCTCCCCATTGTGTAGAACTGGCATGGAAGTTACCATTTTCTACATGGAGGTATCTAGTACTGACCGTCTGTGATCTCAGTCGGTTAAATAATGCCACTTGTGTCCCTGAGGCTATACATACTGAAAATACATAAAATACATGTTCAACTGATTACACCATTTTGAAAAACTAACAACCGGTCAATCTGAATGCAAAATTTCTAGAAAACCAAAGGTTTATAGTGCTTTTAATAAAAGTATTGAAGTTCTATCTTTTCTACTTGAGCAACTACATAAGAATGATAAATATATGAACATGGACAGAGCATTGCTTTTTTGCTATACAAACTGTCTAACCAGTTGACAAGGTATGTTACTGTTAATCTATTGTATAAGAATTGAGTACATAGAACTAAAAATTTAAGATTTTTTTTTCAGTATACAGTAAGTCTTGTGTCAAAAATTCAGATGTTGAGGTATTTTGTCAGTCCCTGTAAAATTCTTCTATGCCCAATGCATTTTTTCAGTCATGTCAAACTCGGTTGATTTGAAATCCCTGTTTTCACAAGTATTTTGAGCCTCCTTGAAGAAAAATGAATATTAATTAACCCCTATGAGAAAAAAATTAAAAACTTTTAATATCTAAATCAGATGTACTTTACAGTGCATACAAAATAGTAATTTTCAAAGGAAACATTTGACTCTGGAAAGGTTAAAATCAGCAACCCAACTGCACAACTACAGCATATCTTTGTTCTGTTTAAGAACTTTAGAAAACCTTTTAGAATGAATAAACATGAATGAAGTGCTGACAAATTATAATACTATTATAGCAAATAATTTGTTTGCTTGACTGAGGGGCATACATTAAAATACCAGCCAAATCCAGATTATAACCAGGAAAAAATCATCATAATACATCGACATTATTGACAATTGTTTCCTCCTTATTTTATTTGAAAGGTAGCCAAAATATTAATGAGAAACTAGGCCAATTGTCCAATTGAAGCAGTATATTATTTGTCTTGCAAAATTAATATTTAATATGTTAATAGACTTACAATCAGCATTTTTCAATGACTGTTTCTTTTTTGATGGTTTTGATATGACTTTTATACGTTTACTAGAAAACACACCAATATCTTGTCCGTTACCATAAAACATTTTAACAGACAACATAAAATGTTTTCTTTTGTCCGAGTCAGATATATATAATGTCTTAGCTGCACAATAATTCTGAAATATGAATAAAATGAGTTATAATGATTAGCAAATATGTGAGTTAAGGTAGTATTTGGTCTTCAGACATGTTGGATTGTAAATTAGAAGAAAAATATGGATCTAGATTTGTAATGAAATCAGCAATTTAGAGGCAGTAATGCAAATTCATTTGAAGAACTTTTCATATAAATGAAGAAAATTATGCAGTTTTATCTTATTATTATGACTTCTTTTATAAATACAGTTTTTATTGGTTTTTTTTTAAACTTAGCCTTGCAAGGGAAGATAACACAAGTTAGTTTTATGAAGGAATGGACATAAAAAGTTTTCTATTTTGTATTGTTGCAAGAAAAATAGTAAGGTGACCAAAATTTTTACAACATGTAGCTTGAAAACCAGCTTGGTGACCCATTGTTATATATTTTTCTTAAATAGCATGATATAAACCATATTTGGCAAAGTATGAAAATATATTTGTCATTTTTTGTTTACACTAGGTGGCCTTTTGAAATTTGCTGGTTGCAGAATCATTGATGTATTCCCCATATCTTCTTTTATTCATATCTTTTGCAGGGAGAAGTTTTTTTTTAAAAACTGTTCAGATTCTTTTTTCTAGTTTATCAATTTTGGTAACCCAAAATGTCAATAAAAGTTCTTTAGAAAATTCCACCAAAATATCAATAAGTCTTTTATAATTCCACTATCTAAAATATAAACTCAACCTACTTTGCCCTCCAAATTAAGCTGCACCATTTCTTGATCAGGATTACCAATTCCCATAAAGGCACAAACAGTAGATTCTGTTTCTGAAGCTCCTTCAGCTTCCATTTGTTCTTTTTTCCGTTTCCAACCGTTCCCAAATAAATAAATGCATGGAGGAGGACAGAAAAATCTGAAACAAAGATCATGTCAAACAATTCTTAATAGTATACTGAAAATAGTCAACTAACATATTTATGTATTATCAAGAGACAATTCAGAAAAATTCAAATCATTCCTTAATAAAGAAGCGGAAATAAGGTAAAACAAGTAAATTTTCAGTGGGTATAATAAACAAATTTCCTTTTTTTTTATCAAAATATGCCCGGTAAATCTGAAAATAGCATACACAGTTTAACTAAAACTTCGTAAGGGTTCCGTGGAACCCAGTGTCTCGCCTATTTTTGCTGTTAGTCGCAGGCTCAACAAAAATGGGGAAAAAATTATTAAAAATTTTCCTCTAGATACTATCTTTTGATTGTAAGAAGTTTTTGTTCAAGTTTGGTAAAATCCAAGAAGGTTTATGAATCTAATAAATGTTTTAAAAACTTTAACTGCAGACTGTACGTAATGTTAGCTGGAATAAAACTAAGTCTATTTATAAGTAATATACGGAAAAACAGGAAATAAATTTTTACAAAATTTCCTTCTAGATACTAGCTTTTGATCATAAACAAGCTTCTGTCCAAGTGTGGTACAAATCCAAGATAGTTTAAGAAAGTTATCAAAATTTTGAAAGCTTTAACCACGGAGTGAATGTAATGTTAACTGGCAGAAAAACTAAGTCCATTTATAAGTAAAATACGGATAAACAGGATTTTTTTTTTAACCAAATTTACTTTTGAATACTATCTTATGACCACAAACAAGCTTCTGTCCGAGTGTAGTACAAATCTAGGATAGTTTAAGAAAGTTATTAAAATCTGAAAAACTTTAACCACAGAGTGAATGTCATGTTAACTGACAGAAAAACTAAGTCCATTTATGAGTAAAATACGGATAAACAGGATTTTTTTTTTACAAAATTTACTTCTGGATACTATCTTATGATCATAAACAAGCTTCTGTCCAAGTTTGGTTGAAATGCAGGATAGTTTAAGAAAGTTATTAAAATTTCAATAAACTGTTATCACAGAGATATGTCTCGCTTTTTTGTAATTTTGATAATACAAATGTTGAAATTAAAATAGCAATACTTTAACATGTAAGTTATGCAAATATTCAAAGTCGATGAACCATGACTGAAGGTACATGGCTAAACAATCTCCATGGAATGAGATGTGCCAATGCTAATACAACTGCATACCAAATACCATTGACTTATTATAAGTCGTTCCCTTTAAACAAACCTAAACACAAACATTAACTTGTAAACTATGTAAAAGTTTCAAAGTCAATGAACCATGATCAGGGGTGGGGCTATATAATCTCCATGGAAACGATTCTTGCAAATGCCAATAAATTTGCATACCAAATATCATTGACTTAACATTAGCAGTTCATCTTAAACTGATCTAATCATAAACTAATACATGTAAACTATGCAAAAGTTTCAAAGTAAATAGACCATGACTGAGGGAGCGGGGCCAAATATTCTCCATGGAAATGAGATGTGCTAATGCTTATACAACTGAACACCAATTAACATTGGCCTACCACTAATGGTTCCCCTTGAACTGACCTAATCACAAACTAATACATGTAAACTTAGTAAAATTTTCAAAGTCTATAGACCATGACTAAGGGGGCGGAGCCAAATAATCTCCATGGAAATGAGATATGCCAATGCTTATACAACTGCAAACCAAATATCATTGACCTACCACTAGTGGTTCCCCATAAATTGATCTAATCACAAACTAATACATGTAAACTATGAAAAGTTTCAAAGACAATAATAGACCTTGACTGAGGGGGCGGGGCCAAATAATCTCCATAGTAATGAGATGTGCCAATGCTAATACAACTGCATACCAAATATCATTGACCTACCACTAGTGGTTCACCATGAACTAGACCTAATCACAAACTAAAACATTGTTGACGCCGCCGCCGGAAACAGCATACCTATGTCTCGCTTTTTGACTCCGTCAAGGCGAGACAAAAACTTTAACCACAGAGTGAATATTTGTGGCCGCCGCCCCCGACGGAATGACGGATCGCTATGTCTCGCTTTTGCGACAAACGTCGCAGGCTCGACAAAAATATAAAATTTGAGACAAAATATCAAATCATTCCATAATACACAAGCTGAGTGATGTTCAATCGATGAGTTTACTGTAAACAGACAAATTTTCACAATTTTCATGGTTAGAATTGAAGCGTGAAAATAAAACTTCCGCAAATTTCTCAAGGGAAACCTATTCAAAGGATGAATACCACACATGAACCTATGCCAATAGGTTTATGAACAGGGGCAATTTATAATAATGATTTTGCAGATTTTATTTCTAAGTGAAGGGCAGTATCAGAAAGTAAAAGTTGATTTCAAATGAAAGTCATCTCAAGCAAGCGGAAATTATATAATAAACAACACTCGTGACAGTCAGTTAATGATTGGTTTTTTAACATTTGATTCACGATACCTGAACCACTTAAAGAGTTTCAAAGTCAAACAATTTGTAAAGGACACCCATCAATCCCAAATTCAAAACGGGGCGAACTGAGAGTCAGTTTGCAAATCGTGAAAATAAAGACAGCGAAAATTTCCAGGTTTAGAGTATAATTTGGAAGATTTCATATTGTTTATGTATTTATATTTATTATATAAGCTACATACCTTTTTTCATTGCCATAAGATTTCTGAGCTACTTTGGCATGTAATATCACAAGTATTTGGTCTCCCCGATCTTTGGCATACTGTCTCATGGCCTCCCTAAAGAAAATTAATACAAATCCTCATAAAGGCATTATTCTTCAATCTTAATGAGAAATTAATTTTCTAACAAAATCATTTGCTGCATGTTCTTTGTTACAGAGATAAAATCCTAAAACAAGAAACAATTTACATTTTCTGGATGAGTAATTTTGTAACTGCTTGGTTTTTCCTGTTGTTATCGTCTAGTAAACTTAGCCTGGACTTCTCATTATTCTCAATACGATGTACACGACAGTCAATGCACAGCTTACATTAAGTTAATTAAAACCAAATTATAAAAGTGGTCTTCAATGATGCACCTAAGACCCATCAACTAAAAATTACAATTTATTTGTATGATCCTTGCTAAGGCACTAAAATGTAAATTAAAGTAGAAGGCAGATGATTCAGCGGGAATACATTCATTTTTTTACCATTGTAAAAAATGTGCTGTGTTTTTTTCTCTTGCAATTTGTCAAATCCTCTACATGAATAACAATTCTGCCTTTATCTTATTTTTTAATCTATCTTCATACCTGGTTAATCTTTGATCTTGACACTGACTGTAATTAAAAAAAAAATTATTAATAAGGGTCATTTTTTATTTGTTTCCATTCAAATTGAACATGCTTAAAGCTGTTATAAAGATCATATCCAATCATGAGTGTTTTTTGAATGAAATATTACCAGTGGCAGTATGCAACATTACACTTGTATATGTTTTATGTTTGATATTAAAGGCCTCCATACAAAGCAGGATATGTTACCATTTTTTTATGTTTTAAACAAGGTGATCGATACAATTTGAATGTTAAGTACATGTATATGGTTTCAAGTACTGAGGATAGACAGTACACTAACGGTGATTCAGTTAACAACTTCCTGACAGTGAACGCTAGTGATGGTGATTCAATCTGAAATATCTCTATATCAACTGGTAAATGAGTGACGTGTGTACATGACAAAAGTTCAAATAATAAAAAAGTAGGTGGTGTTTTCATTAGAAGTTTATCAATGAAATAATAAAATATAGGTAGTAAATTCATGATATTTATCAATGCACATTCTTAACTCTAATGAATTCTTAAGTGGCACTTATTTTCCACTAGCCAACATTAAAACAAATGTACATGCTTCCCATTTTGTTATCATCTGGCTTTGTATAGCTTTCTATACAGCATTGGTTTTGATCATTGTTGAAGGCCATAAACCCATAAGGTGACCTGTCAATGTTTATCTCTTTGTTAACGTTCTTTTGAAGTTCCAACTCCCTCAGTTAAAGTTAAACTTAAATGAATTTGGTTGTTTTTCTAGGTTTCTTTATGTCATATAGCTTCTTACGTTTCTAAATATCTATACATTCCTGACTTCCAAATGTCAAAGGTCGAGCATCCTGATGAAGATGAATCCAGAAATAGACTTATTCTTTGAACAGTTAATATATAAAATGTTATTTTCGTTTGTCCTTGAACTCTGGTGGATAGTTTTTCTTATATTGACAATCATACCAAAGCTCCTTATATCATACATAAGCACTTAAAAGGTGTATTCATCTTCAACTCTATAAAGATTGGTATATTCACGTCATACAAGAACTTTATTTAAATTAACATTACATGTACAACTTTTTGTTATAACTTACCTTCTGTGTTGTTCCATTGGAAAGCTTGAGGAGTACATTATTCTAGGGGACGGAGTTGATTTGGGACTTGGAGGTGCCACTAAGGTCTGTGGTGGCATGCTGTTAAGTGGACTTGTGGTTGACAAGGCAACGGTGTCATATTCTGCCTTCTCTGGGGGAGTCAGTGACCCCATACCCATGTGAGGAGGATCTGAAATAAAAATTAAAAAAATATGAATTTTGCAAATACATGTATGAGCAGAGCATTTTAAAACGGTGAAATTAACAAGTAGAACTATGTGCAATTGCTCACTTATGATAACCCTGTTATAAATATTTGGTAAACAAGGAGTTGAAGAGTAACGGATATGAAAATCCATCACATGGTATAGCATGGTCACACGAGATCAGATAACAAATTTCAGGAAGCTCATATAAATTTGTAGTTCCCTAGAGAAATTCAATAAAAGTTTAAATTTCACACATGGCCATTATGTGTTAGAAAATATAAGTATTTATTAACAGGAAGTTGATGAGCCCTTAATCTGAAAAAGCATCACACGGTAAAGAATGTTCACCTGAAGCCTGATAGCAAATTTCATGAAGCTCTTATTTAGCCTAGAAAAATGTGACTGAAATTTCAGACATGCCCATTATGTTTTAGACTATGCATGTATAAGAATTCAGTAAATAGGATGTTAAAGAGCGATGAATCAGAAAACTCATCACACAGTAAAGCCTAATATCAAATTTGAGGAAGCTATGATTAGTACTTCCTGAGAAAAATGTGACAGAAATTTCATGGGAAGGATCATCATACAGGGGTAAAAACAGTACACCCCCTTCCTTGGAGTGGGTATTTCAGAGCTGGGGTATAATAAGCACACCCTTATACCCGCTATCGGTACAATATATGCATTGCATTAGGTAAAACTGATCAAAATCTGTTGTATTTCAATGACAATCTGAAACATTCAACAAAAATCTGTTGTACATGATTGCCAAACCAATTGTTTATAGAGAACACAGACATTATTGTATCTGCCATACTGTTTGTTAGTAATAGGGTGTGATTATATATTGTTCTAAGATTTAACAAGAACCTAGTTTAAAAATCTTTCAATGTTTTTGTAAAATAAAGAGAAACTATTATTTTCTACTCTTTAAAACCCTTGAATCTGCCAACTTTTTGTATGGAAACTAAAATATAAATATAATCTACATGTAATTGAATAATTCTCTGCAGTTTCTGCAGTTGGTACCTTTCTTATATGACTGAATTCATAGATAGTCTTGTTAAACACATACATGAAAATATGTATAAACAAAACAAGTATGAATCATACTCATTTTTAACAATACTAATGACCAAATAAAAAGAAAAATCAATAAAATTTGATCAAAACACTAATTATTACTTACTGTCATCTAAAATATAATGAAATTCATCAAACATCATGTCTGAATTATGTGCTAACATACTGAAATGTTTCCCTGGACCAAATGATCTCTCTGTGATTGGAAGAAAACCTTACTTGGGGTTATCTTAGCTTAGCTTTAATATTGATAATTATAAGAGACACCTGTAATCTGTTGTGCTTTTCCCATACCACTGTTTGTCTTTCCAGAGGCTCAAAAGGGAAAAATCCACACTTATAAGGTTTGTGTCATAAGAATTGATTAAATCTTTAAACTTTCGTTAAAGTACAAGTAGACTTGAACTTCTTTGAACCAATTACCATAAAAGGGATAATTTATTGATACATCCATATACCAAGAGAAATCCAAATTGGGTACTAAATAAGAGTTTAATTGCTTTCAGCATAAAAAATAACGATTTCAAAATTACATCAACTCGTTAATGCTGATGGCCATATTGGATTTTCTATCATATAAAATATATCAACAGCAAGCTTAAAGAGATTCTAAATAATATTCATCAAGTGACATCATTTAATAATATTGTTCAAGATGTCATGTTTTTCTGTTTTAATCTTTTTGCTGATTTCTAGCATGTAAAAACACTATTCCATGTGAAAGCAATTTTTTCTTTAATCAAATTACTTTCCTTATGGATATTTTAAACAAAAGCGTAACCTGATGCTTATCATTTTTGACTTTCCAGGGCTCACACTACTTCAAAATCATAAGGAGAAGTGACTACTCTTTTTGAAATTGAGAGGGAGAAGTGGTGAGATTTGAAAGAGAAGTGCTTGTTCGCTCGCGGCTCTACAATGTTTGGTTTTTACTATAATACATTAAGGGCCATATGTATCTTATTTTTTTTATATTGTTCAATTTGTACCTGGGTATACAATTAAAGTAACTGTTCAAATTTAAAGTTGTTTAATTTTATCATATCTAGTTGCACAATCATATGAGTGCTCTTTTCAGAAAACTAGAGGCTCTCAAGAGCCTGTGTCGCTCACCTGATTCTACTTTGGTTTTGGAAATCATGTAAAAATAGATTAAAATCATAACAGATACCCTAATAATGAGTGAGGCCAAATTTGTTTAATATTGGTCCTGTAATTTAATAAAAAATCCTGGAGGCCATCTTGAACAGTAAATCGGCAACAAAGTAGCAACACTTAATCAGCACCTCATAAGAAACATTTATGCCATGTTTTGGTTTCATTCCATTCAGTGCACCTCTTAGAAGAAGCATTTGTATGTATTTCCCATAGGGTCTTATGTTAAAGGAAGTCCCCCCATTGGCGGCCATCATGGATGAAGGATCAGCTTCAAAGTAACAAAACTTAGTCAGCACCTCATAAGGAACATTCATGCCATGTTTGGTTTCAATCCATTCAGTATGTGGTTCTCTAAAAGAAGACATTTGTATGTATTGTCCATAGGGTCCTTTGTTAAACATTGTCCCCATCTGGCAGCCATCATGGATGAAGGATCAGCTTCAAAGTAACAACACTTGGTCAGCACCTCAAAAGGAACATGCATGCCATGTTTGGTTTCATTCCATTCAATGGTTCTCTAAAAGAAAACATTTGTAGGTATTTCTCATAGGGTCCTATGTTAAACTAAGTCCTCCGCTGGCGGCCATCTTAGATTATGGATGGGCTTCATAGTAACAACACTTGGTCAGCACCTCATAAGGAACATTCATGCCATGTTTGGTTTCATTGCATTCAGTGGTTCTCTAAAAGAAGACATTTGAATGTATTTCCCATAGGGTCCTATGTTAAACTAAGTCCCCCGCTGGCGGCCATCTTGGATGATGGATCGGCTACAAAGTAACAACACTTGGTCAGCACCTCATAAGGAACATTCATGCCATGTTTGGTTTCATTCCATTCAGTGGTTCTCTAGAAGAAGTTCAAAATGTAATAAAATGCTTCGCTGGGGTGCAGCTTGATACGACCGCAGAGGTCGAACCCTGAACAGTTGGGGCAAGTATGGACACAACATTCAAGCTTGATACAGCTCTGAATTTGGATTGTTATTAAATATTTGACACAGCATAGGTTTCTGACACAGAAAGAATGTGGTCTAAGAACTTGAATTTTTTTAATTTATCTATTATGGTCCAATGTCCAAAATCAAAATACATGGTTAGATTCAGCATACTAAAGAACCCCATATATTCAATTTTTGTTAAAATCAAACAAAGTTTAATTTTGGACCCCAACTTGGACAAACTTGAAAATTGGGCCCATAATCAAAAATCTAAACACATGTTTAGATTCAGCAAATCAAAGAACCCCAAGAATTCAATTTTTGCTAAAATCAAACTAAGTTTAATTTTGGACCCTTTGGACCTTAATGTAGACCAATTTAAAAAACGGGACTTAAAATTAAAAATCTAAATACACGGTTAGATTTGGAATATCAAAGAACCCCAATAATTCAATTTTTGATGAAATCAAACAAAGTTTAATTTTGGACCCTTTTGACCTCAATATGAACCAATTTGATAGCGGGGCCCACAAATAAAAAATCTAAATTCATGGTTAGATTCAGCATATCAAAGAACCTCATATATTCAATTTTTGTTGAAATCAAAAAAAGTTTAATTTTGGACCCCAACTTGGACCAACTTGAAAACTGGGCCCATAATCAAAAATCTAAACACATGTATAGATTCAGCTTATCAAAGAACCCCAATAATTCAATTTTTGTTAAAATCAAACTAAGTTTAATTTTGGACCCTTTGGACTTCAATGAAGACCAATTTAAAAAACGGGACCCAAATAAAAAATCTAAAAACACGGTTAGATTTGGCATATCAAAGAACCCCAATAATTCAATTTTTGATGAAATCAAACAAAGTTTAATTTTGGACCCCAATTTGGACCAACTTTAAAACTTGGCCCATAATCATAAATCTAAATACATGTTTAGATTCAGTATATCAAAGAACCCCATATATTCAATTTTTGTTGAAATCAAACAAAGTTTAAATACTGGACCCTATCTTGGACCAACTTGAAAACTGGGCCCATAATCAAAAATCTAAACACATGTTTAGATTCAGCATATCAAAGAACCCCAAGAATTCAATTTTTGTTAAAATCAAACTAAGTTTAATTTTGGACCCTTTGGACCTTAATGTAGACCAATTTAAATAAAATGCTCCGCTGGGGCGCAGCTTGATACGACCGCAGAGGTCGAACCCTGAACAGTTGGGGCAAGTATGGACACAACATTCAAGCTTGATACAGCACTGAATTTGGATTGTAATTAAATATTTGACACAGCATAGGTTTCTCACACAGAATGAAAGTAGTCTAAGAACTTAAAATTTTTTAATTTACCTATTCAAACCATATCATTATTATTTGCTTTTATATATAAATCAGAAATAACCAATTTAAAATGGAAAATTTTAAAGAAAAAAAAGGAAAAAAAAATCCCCCCCCCAAATTTTTTGAAACCCCCTTATGATTCATCACCCCCAAACTCAATCCCAGCCTTCCCTTTGTGGTATGGTACCTTGCAGTACAATTTCAGAGAGATCCATACACTTGAACACAAATTATTGTCTGGAAACTAGAAAAATGCTTGGGTTTTTTGCACCTTTTTGGCCCCAAATTCCTAAATGTTTAGGGCAATTACCCCCAAACTCAAACCAAGCTTTCCCTTTGTGATATGGAACCTTGCAGTACAATGTCATAAAGATCCATACACTTACACACAAGTTATTGTCATGAAACTAGAAAAATGCTTGTTTTTTTGCCCCTTTATGGCCCCTAATTCCTAACATTTTGAGACAATTACCCCCAAAAACAATCCCAGCCTTCCCTTTGTGGTATGGTACCTTGCAGTACAATTTCAGAGAGATCCATACACTTGAACACAAGTTATTGTCTGGAAACTAGAAAAATGCTTATTTTTGGCCCCTTATTCCTAAACGTTTTGGGCAAGTACCCCCAAACTCAATTCCAGCTTTCCCTTTGTGATATGGAACCTTGTAGTACAATTTCATAAATATCCATACACTTACACACAAGTTATTGTCATGAAACTAGAAAAATGCTTGTTTTTTGCCCCCTAATTCCTAAAATTTGGAGGCAATTACCCCCAAAATCAATCCCAGCATTCAAACCCTCAATCAGCATCATTTAACAGTAATATCTAAAAATGGAAATTACATAATAAAGGTATTAAAATAGATAAAATGCTTCGCTGGAGCGCAGCTTGATACGACCGCAGAGGTCGAACCCTGAACAGTTGGGGCAAGTATGGACACAACATTCAAGCTTGATACTGCTCTGAATTTGGATTGTTATTAAATATTTGACACAGCATAGGTTTCTGACACAGAAAGAATGTGGTCTAAGAACTTGAATTTTTTTAATTTACCTATTATGGTCCAATGTCCAAAATCAAAATACATGGTTAGATTCAGCATATCAAAGAACCCCATATATTCAATTTTTGTTAAAATCAAACAAAGTTTAATTTTGGACCAACTTGGACAAACTTGAAAACTGGGCCCATAATCAAAAATTCGTAAGGGTTCCGCGGAACCCAGTGTCTCGCCTACTTTTTCTATTAATCGCAGGCTCAACAAAAATGAGGAAGTAAATCAATAAAAATATTCCTCTTGATACTATCTTTTGATTGTAAGAAGCTTCTGTCCAAGTTTGGTAAAAATCCAGATTAGTTAATGAATCTAATAAATGTTTAAAAACTTTATCTGCAGACTGAATGTAATGTTAACTGGAAGAAAACAAAATTTCCTTCTGGATACTAGCATTTGATCATAAACAAGCTTCTGTCCAAGTTTGGTACAAATCCAAAATAGTATAAGAAAGTTATTAAAATTTTAAAAACTTTAACCACAGAGTGAATGTGTTGTTTCCTGGCAGAAAATCTAAGTCCATTTAAAAGTAAAATAAGGAAAAAATGGATTTTTTTTTTTACAAAATTTACTTCTGGATACTATCTTATGATCATAAACAAGCTTCTGTCAAAGTTTGGTAGAAACCCAGGATAGTTTAAGAAAGTTATTAAAATTTTAAAAACTTTAACCACAGAGTGAATGTAATATTTCCCGGCAGAAAAACTAAGTCCATTTGTAAGTAAAATACGGAAAAATTGGAATTTTATTTTTACAAAATTAACTTCTGGATACTATCTTATGATCATAAAAAAGCTTCTGTCCAAGTTTGGTAGAAATCCAGGATAGTTTAAGAAAGTTATTAAAATTTTAAAAACTTTAACCACAGAGTGAATATTTGTGGACGCCGCCGACGACGACGACGGAATGTAGGATCGCTATGTCTCGCTTTTTCGACTAAAGTCGAAGGCTCGACAAAAATCTAATCACATGTTTAGATTCAGCATATCAAAGAACCCCAAGAATTCAATTTTTGCTAAAATCAAACTAAGTTTAATTTTGGACCCTTTGGACCTTAATGTAGACCAATTTAAAAAACGGGACTTAAAATTAAAAATCTAAATACACGGTTAGATTTGGAATATCAAAGAACCCCAATAATTCAATTTTTGATGAAATCAAACAAAGTTTAATTTTGGACCCTTTTGACCTCAATATGAACCAATTTGATAGCGGGGCCTACAAATAAAAAATCTAAATTCATGGTTAGATTCAGCATATCAAAGAACACCATATATTCAATTTTTGTTGAAATCAAAAAAAGTTTAATTTTGGACCCCAACTTGGACCAACTTGAAAACTGGGCCCATAATCAAAAATCTAAACACATGTTTAGATTCAGCATATCAAAGAACCCCAAGAATTCAATTTTTGTTAAAATCAAACTAAGTTTAATTTTGGACCCTTTGGACCTCAATGAAGACCAATTTAAAAAACGGGACCCAAATTAAAAATCTAAAAACACGGTTAGATTTGGCATATCAAAGAACCCCAATAATTCAATTTTCGATGAAATCAAACAAAGTTTAATTTTGGACCCTTTTGACCTCAATATGAACCAATTTGATAGCGGGGCCTACAAATAAAAAATCTAAATACATGGTTAGATTCAGCATATCAAAGAACCTCATATATTCAATTTTTGTTGAAATCAAACAAAGTTTAATTTTGGACCCCAATTTGGACCAACTTGAAAACTGGGCCCATAATCAAAAATCTAAATACATGTTTAGATTCAGCATATCAAAGAACCCCATATATTCAATTTTTGTTGAAATCAAACAAAGTTTAAATACTGGAACCTATCTTGGACCAACTTGAAAACTGGGCCCATAATTAATAAAATGCTTCGCTGGGCGCAGCTTGATACGACCGCAGAGGTCGAACCCTGAACAGTTGGGGCAAGTATGGACACAACATTCAAGCTTGATACAGCTCTGAATTTGGATTGTGATTAAATATTTGACACAGCATAGGTTTCTGACACAGAAAGAATGTGGTCTAAGAACTTCAATTTTTTTAATTTACCTATTATGGTCCAATGTCCAAAATCAAAATACATGGTTAGATTCAGCATATCAAAGAACCCCATATATTCAATTTTTGTTGAAATCAAACAAAGTTTAATTTTGGACCCCAACTTGGACAAACTTGAAAACTGGTCCCATAATCAAAAATCTAAACACATGTTTAGATTCAGCATATCAAAGTACCCGAAGATTTCAATTTTTGTTAAAATCAAACTAAGTTTAATTTTGGACCCTTTGGACCTTAATGTAGACAAATTTAAAAAACGGGACCCAAAATAAAAAATCTAAAAACATGGTTAGATTTGGCATATCAAAGAACCCCAATAATTAAATTTTTGATGAAATCAAACAAAGTTTAATTTTGGACCCTTTTGACCTCAATATGAACCAATTTGATAGCGGGCCCACAAATAAAAAATCTAAATACATGGTAAGATTCAGCATATCAAAGAACCCCATATATTCAATTTTTGTTGAAATCAAATAAAGTTTAATTTTGGACCCCAATTTGGACCAACTTGAAAACTGGGCCAAAAATCTAAAATCTAAATACATGTTTAGATTCAGCATATCAAAGAACCCCATATATTCAATTTTTGTTGAAATCAAACAAAGTTTAATTTTGGACCCCAACTTGGACCAACTTGAAAACTGGTCCCATAATCAAAAATCTAAACACATGTTTAGATTCAGCATATCAAAGAACCCCAAAAATTCAATTTTTGTTAAAATCAAACTAAGTTTAATTTTGGACCCTTTGGACCTTAATGTAGACCAATTTAAAAAACAGGACCCAAAATTTAAAATCTAAATACACGGTTAGATTTGGCATATCAAAGAACCCCAATAATTCAATTTTTGATGAAATCAAACAAAGTTTAATTTTGGACCCTTTTGACCTCAATATGAACCAATTTGAAAGCGGGCCCACAAATAAAAAATCTAAATACATGGTAAGATTCAGCATATCAATGAACCCCATATATTCAATTTTTGTTGAAATCAAACAAAGTTTAATTTTGGACCCCAACTTGGACCAACTTGAAAACTGGGCCAAAAATCTAAAATCTAAATACATGTTTAGATTCAGCATATCAAAGAACCCCATATATTCAATTTTTGTTGAAATCAAACAAAGTTTAATTTTGGACCCAACTTGGACCAACTTGAAAACTGGGCCCATAATCAAAAATCTAAACACATGTTTAGATTCAGCATATCAAAGAACCCCAAGAATTCAATTTTTGTTAAAATCAAACTAAGTTTAATTTTGGACCCTTTGGACCTTAATGTAGACCAATTAAAAAAACGGGACCCAAAATTAAAAATCTAAATACACGGTTAGATTCGGCATATCAAAAAACCCCAATAATTCAATTTTTGATGAAATCAAACAAAGTTAAATTTTGGACCCTTTGGACCTCAATGTGGACCAATTTAAAAACGGGGCTCAAAATCCAAAAACTTAATACACGGTTAGATTCAGCATATTAAAGAACCCCAAGAATTCAAGAATAAAACCCCATTGAAATTGATCAAGAAATAAGCAATTTATACGAAGTATCTTCTTTTGCACAATACTGTGCAATTGAATATTTCTTGCTATTGCGCAATACTGTACAATTGACAATTTCTTGCTATTGCGCAATATTGTGCTATTGGATATTTCTTGCTATTGCGCAATACTGTGCAATTGAAGATTTCTTGCTATTGTGCAATACTGTGCAATTGAAGATTTCTTGCTATTGTGCAATACTGTGCAATTGAAAATTTCTTGCTATTGCACAATACTTATTATATAATAATTTACACATCCTGTTTGGTGTGTATCTCCTACCATATCATTATTATTTGCTTTTAAATATAAATCAGAAATAACCAACTTAAAATGGAAAATTTTAAAAGAAAAAAAAAAGGAAAAAAAGAAAAAAAAAAAAAAAAAAAAATCCCCCCCCCCCAAATTTTTTGAACCCCCTTATGATTCATCACCCCCAAACTCAATCCCAGCCTTCCCTTTGTGGTATTGTACCTTGCAGTACAATTTCAGAGAGATCCATACACTTGAACACAAGTTATTGTCTGGAAACTAGAAAAATGCTTATTTTTGGCCCCTTTTTGGCCCCCAATTCCTAAACGTTTCGGGCAATTACCCCCAAACTCAATTCCAGCTTTCCCTTTGTGATATGGAACCTTGTAGTACAATTTCAGAAATATCCAAACACTAACACACAAGTTATTGTCATGAAACTAGAAAAATGCTTGTTTTTTGCCCCTTTTTTGGCCCCTAATTCCTAAAATTTTGAGGCAATTACCCCCAAAATCAATTACAGCCTTCCCTTTGTGATATGGAACCTTGTGGTACAATGTCAGAGAGATCCATACACTTACACACAAGTTATTGTCTGAAAGTTACAAAAATGCTTATTTTTGGCCCCTTTTTGGCCCCTAATTCCTTAACTGTTGGTACCATAACCCCCAAAATCAATCCCAACCTTCCTTTCGTGGTATTGAACCTTATGGTGAAATTTCATGGAGATCCATTCACTTAAACTAAAGTTAGAGTGCGAAAACCAATGTGTCTTCGGACGACGCCAGACGACGCCGGACGACGACGACGACGACGCCAACGTCATACCAATATACGACCAAAAAATTTTTAATTTTTGCGGTCGTATAAAAATCTAAACACATGTTTAGATTCAGCAAATCAAAGAACCCCAAGAATTCAATTTTTGTCAAAATCAAACTAAGTTTAATTTTGGACCCTTTGGACCTCAATGTAGACCAATTTAAAAAACAGGACCCAAAATTAAAAACCTAAATACACGGTTAGATTTGGAATATCAAAGAACCCCAATAATTCAATTTTAGATGAAATCAAACAAAGTTTAATTTTGGACCCTTTTGACCTCAATATGAACCAATTAGATAACGGGGTCCACAAATAAAAAATCTAAATACATGGTTAGATTCAGCATATCAAAGAACCCCATATATTCAATTTTTGTTGAAATCAAACAAAGTTTAATTTTGGACCCCAATTTGGACCAACTTGAAAACTGGGCCAAAAATCAAAA